TGCCGATTGCACCCCCCTGGCCCATTTCATTATATTTTTATATTTTTCTATTTCTTTTTCATTTCTGATTTTATTTTATTTTTTTCTAAACATAAAAAATTACCAAAAACATTTTCATAAATTTTCATATTTTATTTTGTATTTTTTATTATTTTTTCTAACATAAAAATAATTATTAAATAACATACTTTTATTTTCTTTAATAAAAACTTGAAAATACTACATAAAAATATTATATTTTTATTTTTATTATTTACATACTTAAATAATATTTTTTCTAATATATTTTTATTTTTTGACATTTGTATATATTTTATTATTTTATTGTACATAAATAATATAATTAATGTATATATATTTTCTTAAAACAAATTAGGGTTTTCACCCTTAATAAAAATAACCTTTTATTTTCTTATTTTTTTACACATTAAATATTATATTTTTACATATATAAAAATAATACAAAAACATTTTTTTTTGCATATTTATAATATTTTGCATATTTATATTTAATTGCTTATTTAAATATTGTTTATTTATCATTTGAGCAAAGAAATTCAATTTGGTTGTAATAACTTAGGGTTTTAATTTCTTGCAAAATAATCCCCTATCCAAAATTGTATCCCCCTCCCCATATCAATGATGTAATAGCTTAGGTTTATTTTACGCCCTTTATCCTTTCAAATATGCCATGATAGAGATTAGGGTTTGTACGCAATATCCAAAATCAAAACAAATAGCTAGACCTAATACAAGACATAAAAATGCATGAAAATGACAACACAATACACACATACACCCCTAGGGTTTCATCCACTTGTTGCCTTTAAAATGGCCATGGTATGCATGTTGAGTATCTTGGCAAAACAAAAACAAAACAAAAGATCATAGTCCCTCGATGACGCTATCTTGGTTGCCTATACAAAATGATCTAGTCCCTCAAAAATTTGCTAAGATACTTAGCACAATTGCTATCATGGTCAACACGATGACCCGCACCTGTCCCGTTTAAACATCCAAATACAAGGTTGTTTATCAAATGCAATGGTAAAACAACAATGTAAAAGGGTTAAAAATGTGTAGGAAAGATCTTTGAGTAGATAAGGTAGACAACTCTTAGTTACTTGATCAAAACTTACAAACATCCTTGCTATTTTCAAAAACACATCACCACACTATTTCAAAATATTTCCCAAAACAAACTTTCAAACTTTCAAACATTGAAACATCTTTTCAAAAGACAATACATCTTTGTATACATTCAAACAAGAATCATTACAAAGGTTGCCACAATGATGACCTCTTTTCAAAACATTTTCAAAAACCACACACAAAGCACCATTTCAAACAATTGAAAAGAAAAAGCAAGTGATTTAAACAAGTAACTAAGAGCCCATGGATAACCATGGATGAAAAGGGTGCTTGCACCTTTCCTTTTCATAATCTACCCCCCGAACCCAAGAAAACATCTCAAAGGTCTTTCCTGTGCTTTTTGACCTTTCCTTTGGATAAAATAAAAAGTCGGTGGCGACTCTTGCTAAACCGAAACATTTGCGAACACAAATGCAAAACCTCAAGTCAGTTCTCCCACCGTATCACAGACGTCTTGTAGCGTAATGCATGGAACCTGCGTCAAATGTTAAGAAAATAAAGGAAATTGCCGGGACCTGGGATCGAACCCCGGTCCTCCTACTTACACAACACACGCCTTGCCATTTGGGCTATCATGTTTAGTTGTTAATATGATAAGACTAATATATATTATATAAAACAAAGTGAATGAACTGAAAAATGCGCGAAATTTGAATTACCCAATCAGGTTGGGACACGCCATCGTCTTCCCCACAGATCCGTTGCTTTAGGTTAGGGACTTTTACCTACGGCCAAACTCCATGGCTATAGCACTGCAAGTTTCAAAAATCAACAACAAGCATGATAAATTAATTTTAAGCACATGGATCAACTCGTCTTGATGCCACGAGCATCATGGTACCCTTTTCTTGGGGCAATTTAACATGTGCAAGGAAACCCTAAAACGGCCAAACAAACCCTAGCCATGGCATTCATCAATATATGCATCAAAACGCAAAATTAAATAAACCAAAACATTCCAAATGATGATACAAACACAATGCCATGCTTAAAAGTGAACAACTATGCGTAAACTGTAAAATCAAAATCAAGTTTGGATATGCAAATCGTGGGTCTAAAGTGAGTGATTCTGGGATTCTCAAGACGTGTAAATGGTGTTGTTAGCTTCAGGAGATATCCAGGAATGGATTTGTGGCTTTGAGTTTCTTTGAATCATCCTCTAAGCTTGAAACCGATCCACACTTTTTATTTAAAAATTTGAGTTTTGTTTGGGGTTCTCACGACTGCAACCCTTTTCCTTTTGGCTTGGGTATGTTCTATATATGTAGTGGAACTGATTAGGTTAAAAAAAACAAATTAAATCTTTGTGAATCATGGAAATTGGATTTGATTTTGCTCTTGTATTATATCTTTCCAAAACAAGCATAATCATGCCAATTTTGCTTCAATCATCCCTTACACGATTTGATATGATATGCCAGCCTAATTGGATTTGATTCCTACAAAAAATCAGATCAAAAATCAATCTTTTATATTTTTTGCAATTTATTTGATTTAATCTAACTTTTAATAAATAAAAATCAAAATAAAACAAATAATATATGGAGGCTGATTTGGATTGTGGACCATGTTACAAACAAGATACAATCATGAAAAGCTAAGCCCATTTGACAAAAAATGCACTTTTGAGCATATTTGACTTTTGACAATTTTCTAAAAATGGCCAACTTTGACAATGCATATCTCCTCCAATTTTAACCCTAGAGGGGTGTTCTTGGACTTTTTAGAAAGCTTAGGATGTCCCCTAAACAACCCTTTTGGTTTCATCTCAATTGGGTCTTCCATATTCATGTAAGAAGCTTTGACCCAAAAGATGTTTTTGTTGACTCTTCAAAAGGACCTGTAATATAGAAATTCATATCTTTTGATGATTGCATATTTTGAACTTGTGGGATGAATATGAGTTGTAAGGAATTGCATCCTATTCAAAATGAGCATTGGATGAGAAATTTCTAATAAAGTATGAAAAAGTTATGCCTGGTCAAAGTTTGGTTGACTTTTCCTATGAAACCCTAATTTAACAACTTTTGGGTTTTGATGAATTTGGGGGCATTCCTCGAGGAATCATGATCAACCCTTGATCAAATGATGGATATATCTTCAAAATGTTGATGTTGATCAAAAATATTGAAGTTTGACTGTATGTGGGCCACAATTAACTTTTGACCTAGTATAGTTAATTTTCAGGCATCTCGGCAATTGACTGAGCAAACTTCTTGTGCAAGGCATGCAACTTGACATGGATGATCTTGAGAACATATTGGGACCATGGAAAGCATTTGGGACCCTTGGACTTCAACCATCTTGATGAGGAGTGAAACCCTAGTTTGAAGCTTGTTGCCTTAGGAGGAGGATTTGTCTGGTCAATCCTTAGTCATCCTTGAGCAATTGAGGACCTCTAGAGGCATGTCTTGAGTGAAATGAGAGGACAAATTTTGAGGTACAACAGATAACACTATCTTAAGGAGGAGGAAAGTACAAGAAAATCCTTGAGTGGATAGAACTTTGAATCGTTTGCTCACAAAACCAAAACATTTTACACAAACACTTTCAAAGATATTTTCAAAACACTTTGTACGTATTCTTTAGGACCGATACAATAATCGTTACAAAGTTCAAATTTCAAAATATTTTTCAAACACACACAAAAAACAAATTTTCAAAGTGAGCTAAGCGATTAGGAGCCCGTAGATAACTACAGATGAAAATGGTGCTAACACATTCCTTTTTCATAACCTACCTCCGAACTCAAAATCTTCAAGGTCTTTCCTGTTCTTTTCACCATTTCCTTATTGGATAAAAGAAAAGTTGACGGCGACTCTTGCTATCCGCAACATTTGCGATAAAACACAAAACCAAGTTAGTTCTCCCACCGTGCAACAATAAGTTTCATAACTTATGTTTTAACAAGTTTTTTGATACAATGTTGTTAGGATGGTGTTGTAATATTTTTACAATGTGAATTGAGTATCAAAATTATGCACAATATTATTATTTAGTATTCAGACAATTTAGAATCAATTTAAAATTAACTATCCATTTCATGTTATAAAATCTAAAATTTTATTTTTTTATTTATATTTCAGATGGTCCGTTTATCCGATCGAAAATCATCAGACTAATTTCAATTTTTATTACACAAATAATTCAAATCCAGTCCAATCTCAATTTACCCAAAAATACCATACAAATTTCAATCCAATAAATTAAACATTATTATTTTAATCCGATATCGATTTATCCAATTAGAATTCTAATCTGATCTTTGAGAGAGCAAATATTCACCTTAGACCATTGTTCATTACTATTTTTTTATAAAAAAAGTCATACTATTAATTTCAACCAATTAACTATTTTTCATTTATAATTAAAGTTTCTGGTCCCATAACAATTAAAAATAGTAAGACCAAACTTACTACAGGAAAAATCCGACGCGCTTAACAAAGAGGGTGCCATTTTCGGAATTGAAGAGGTTAAGAAAGAACCCTTCCATGTTTACTCACGCGCCAGTTGAGCGCGTGGATCCGTTTCCTAAAAAAGCCCAACATCAATTCTCCTCCCGGTGGGTTAAGAACCGTAATCTCTCTTCCTCTCTCTCTTATTTTTATTTATATCAATTAATTTAATTATTTATTCAATTCAGAAACACATTTTATTTTATTTCTTATTTCTTATTATTATTTCCGTCAATTTCTCCGTTTCTCTCTCAAATTCCCAGTTTTCGTTTCAATTCCAAAACTCACACGCTTCCAATTTCGTTGTGAATCGTTTCTAGGGTTAGGGTTTTGATTCATTTCTCCATCGAATCGATCCGCGGGTTCAATTATTTACCTCCCACCGACGACGCTATGGGAGGTGACGCTGCTGAGAGTGCGACGGAGCCACAAACCACCGACGGAGTTAAGATCAACATTCGTTGCTCCAATGGTTCCAAGTTTTTCGTTCATGTTAGCCTCGATTCCACCGTTCGTTCATTCAAGGATGTCGTCGCTCAGAACTGTGATATCTCCGCTGACCAACAACGGTTGATTTATAAGGGACGGATCCTCAAGGACGATCAAACCCTTCAAAGCTACGGTATAATCCTGATCTTCCAATGATTTGTGTTTTTTTTTTCGGTTTTATTTGTTTGTATCTGTGTTGCGATTCAACGGTTTTATTTTTTATTCGAGTTTTGTATTGTTGTCAGGAATAAGATTTCTTCAAAAGAAAAATCTTTGGTATATTGAGAGAGTATTTCCTAAATGAGGTAATATATAAATTTCTTTTGTATTTGGATATATAGGTTTGGAGGCGGATCACACTGTTCATTTGGTTCGTGGTTTTACGCCTGCCAATTCAACTGGTGGGACTAATACCAGCGGTGCGAATACCACAACTACCAATGCTAGAGCTGCTGGTGCTAATGAGGGTGGGGGATTAGGAGGAGCTGGACTTGGAGCTTCGCTGTTTCCAGGACTAGGTATCAATGGGATGGGTGGAGGTGGTGGTCTCAATAGCTTGTTTGGAGCGGGCCCTCCTGATCTTGATCAATTGCAGCAACCATTAATGTCGAATCCTAATTTAGTGAGAGAAATTATGAACTCGCCTGCCATGCAAAATTTATTAAATAACCCGGATATAGTGCGCAACCTTCTGATGAGTAACCCACAGATGCAAGAGCTCATGGATAGAAACCCTGAGCTGGCACACATACTTAACGATCCAAGCACACTTCGCCAGACACTTGAGGCTACTAGGAACCCTGAGATCATGCGTGAAATGATGCGGAATACAGACAGAGCAATGAGCAATATTGAATCTTCTCCCGAGGGGTTCAACATGCTGAGACGCATGTATGAAAATGTTCAAGAACCATTTTTAAATGCCACCACAATGGCTGGTAATACAGGAAATGACAGTACTGGAATTTTGGGGACTCAAGGTGGCCAAACAAGGAGTCAATCGACCAATCCCTCAACTACCCGTGCTGAAGCAACTTCCCCTGTACCCAATACTAACCCACTTCCTAATCCTTGGTCATCTGCTGCAAGTAAGTATTCATACCAGGATATTCTCCTTATAAACAAGCAACTTAATGCCCTCCTTTCGTCCCATTTTGAAGTTCTTTTGTTATTTTAATTTATTTGTTATGCTCTAAAGCTTTTAGCTATATTTAAGTGGTTTGTGACTAGTACTAGGCTAACACATCCTGAGTATTTTAGCCGGAGGTGCCCAAAGTAACGTCAGGAGGTCAACTACTGGTGTGGAAGCTCGGCAGCAGACACCCACTGGCTTAGGTGGGCTTGGTATGCCGGATCTTGAAGGCATGTTGGGTGGAATGCCAGATGCCAGTTCATTTTCCCAATTTATGCAAAATCCAGCTATTTCACAAATGATGCAAAGTATCCTTTCCAATCCTCAAACAATGAATCAGGTATTTACTTAATGTGCCTATAAGTTGTGCATGTTTTTGAACTGATCTCTCTAACGTCTTAGTTTCTCTTAGATTCTTGGTATGAATACTGATCAGCGTGGGGTGCCTGATCTAAATTCTATGAGAGAAGTGATGCAAAACCCGGAGTTTCTTCGCATGTTTTCCTCACCCGAGACAATGCAGGTAGATAGATTTAAAATACTCTTGCCTGTTGATGAATTTGAGCTAATATACTCTCCAGTTAGTGTTGAGTACATAACTATTCACATGTTAATAAGTTTTTGGTCCAATGCTGAAGCATTTAGTCATATGTTTATTTTGGGAGAACATTAGTTTTAGTTTTTAAATGCTTTTACAGCTATTTTCAGTTTTGTTTCTCCTGTCTTGTGATGAGTTGTTTGAATAATGAGTATCATAGTCAGACCTGATTGCACTGAGAGCTTCCTAGATCAAGTGGTCGTATAATGGCCTTCTAGCATTTGGGAATGAATGGGCTGTGAGACAATTTGTGATTAAATTTTGATGAGTTGTGTTAAAATAATTAGATTTTAGTAAATCTATCCCATGTTCAGATGTTCTCTAGTAGCAGCTATATCATAGCAAAAATTTGACAAGCCATTATTGTTGTTTTGCGATACATGATTTAATGCCAAGTGTTGTCAAATAGTAGCTATGTCAGTGCTATAGCACTGTAGCATATCATAATTTGAACCAAATGCTATTATCCACTATCTACGGTTGACAACACTAATGTGATCTAATATGATAAGAGTTATGGTTGTTGTCCCAAGATAAACTTAGTAAATTAACTATTGTGTATTTTCAATTATGGCAGCAACTCTTGTCTATGCAGCAAGCTCTTATGACTCAGCTTGGTCAGCAGCAATCGACACAGTAAGTAATGGAGCAATCCTGGCTATTCTCACAATCATTAATTTTTGCTAGCTTTATTTATACTTATACTTGATTATTTAATTGTGTTGGTCATATATCTTAATCATATACTATGAAACGTGGATGCACCATAATTGTAGGTGCTAATGTATCTGGTACGTATTGGGTACAAGTCTGCTTGGTTGGATATGTTCAATTTATATAAAAAAATAATGTAAAGGGGGGGTCTTGGGCTTGGATATGGATGGCTTGAGAAAAAATGTCGGCATTTTGGGTACACATGTGAGGGTTCTTTCTTATTTCATTTGACCCGTGACACTACCCCCTTCCTCTCAAATAAGTGTGAGAAAGGCTAATCTTCACCATTTGATCTCTTATGGATGCTTTATATTTATTTTGAGCAGAACCATTCTTGGCCATCTATATGTGTGGTTCTAGATTACCGTAATTCAACTCGTGTTATTTTGCCTCCATAATGATAGCAGTTTCCTTGCACATCTGTTGATAATAACCTCTTAGGAGTAGTTAGATGAGCTTTTTTGCGTCCTCTTCTTTTTGGTTATAACTTTCCTGGAAGCATTCGTTGTTGTATTGTAGCTTGTTTCCTTTTGCCAGTCATGATTGTCAGATGCCTATGATAATAACAATATTTTTGGATTTAGTACAATAAAAGTCCTTTGAAGAGCCTATGATAATAACAATATTTTTGGATTCAGTGCATTTGCATTTGCACGAGTTGGGCTTGAACCCAGGGTTCTTTCATTCAAACCCTTCTATAAATCCTCGAGTATGTGCTTTCCATTGGGGTAATCCTTCTGTCACCCTCAGCTTTCCTTAACCCCGCACCCAATACATCTTTAGTGGAAGTTAACCCCGTGACTAATTATGATGTGCTTTCCATTGTTGCCCCTTTTTATTTTATTCTGTTATCTATTTGTTACTGGTTTGATCATCTAGTATGATATGCTTTGTGCAGGGAACCAGGTCAAACAGGTGGAGGCACCGGTATGCAAGACTTTTCTGCTTTCTTTTATGGTTTCTATTTATAGAACTATGCTCTGGTAGTCTGTTTGAATTTCACCTGGTTTTCATTCACACATAAAATTAACTTTCCAAAATTAGTTATTGTGAATCATAATGTTTGGAAACAGTTAATTTATGTGTTTGCGTATCCTCTTCTACATGCTCTCCGCACCTATTTGTCTACTATGAGGTTTTTCCTAAGATCTCAGCTTAGTCTTTATTAGGTGGGTAATAAATCCTATAGGTTGATCTGGGTGTTTTTAAGTAGCCCTTGAGGTAGGTGAGTGCCTTAAATTCTTGACCTAATTTAAGCTGCTCCAAACTGAATCTTCAATACCCATTAGACAATGAAACCATTTCCACGGCCAATCAAATGGCAGCCAATAAAAGACAGATGACATGGGTTTTGAAGGTCCCATGCATCTATGGAGTCGCAATGATGGGGGAGATTTAATTTGCCCGCACATTCAAAAATTATAAATATATTTGGTAATTGCTTTAATTTATTTGTTTCTAGGACCAGCGAACAATGTGGGGCTGGAGATGTTATCGAGCATGTTTGGTGGACTTGGAGCTGGGAGCCTAGCTGTTCCAAACAGATCAAATGGTTAGAATTGCTATATTTTGTAATTTCGTATGTGCATTTATACTGCATTACTGATGTCTTTTACTATTCCAAATATTTTAAACTACTCTCTCCTTGATGTCTTTCCAGAGCCACCAGAGCAATTGTATGCTACCCAACTTTCCCAGCTTCAAGAGATGGGTTTCTTTGACACGCAAGAAAACATAAGGGCTCTCATTGCTACGTCAGGGAATGTTCATGCAGCAGTTGAGCGACTTTTGGGGAACTCTGAACAGTAGCAGGTAAACTTGGCTGATTTCCTTTCGAGAAGCATCTTCTGTGGATTGAGTTTGACCCCTCCAAACTCAATTGCATTCAAGCGCCTTGTTTGGCATATAAATATAATTTCCAAATTATAATGGTTGGGACTCAAACTGACCGGTGACATAAGGTTATACATGGACTGCACCTGCAATTATCACTTATCCTTGAGATCTGATGACATGTTTTCTTCATGTACATATATGTTAATAATAGTTTTAGACACGTGGCAGAAGAACTTAAATGTTTTTAACTGAGTCATTTATTACCGTTCATGTATTAATATATTTTTTGGTTATTGATTTATTAATACTTGAATAACTTCATAGTTACTGATTTGGCAGGTGGGAAGGGGCACAAGACTAGCAATTAAATAGCCCAATCGCTAAAATTTGGTGCTGACATATTATCAGATTAGTTTTGCATTTCGCCAAGGAATTATATGTTCAAACAAATCTGTTTATTTTTTTTACATCTACAATTTATTATATCCAACACTCCAATTACTAATCATACATTGAACTACAAGAAAATACAAAGGCCTTTTGTATCATACCTGAGTTTTTAACTTTGCTTGGCCTCAAAGGGATTAAAATCCGACTCGGATATGGATTCACTGCAGTCAGGTATGACTGCAGGATCCTGCATTCAAGTGCAATTGTGTAAAAAAAAAATGGTTTGGTGAGAAACAAATAAAAGATGCCAGGACAAATATAACCTTCAAATTGTATTAAAAATGCACAACTGTGTTTACCTGTGTTATTTATAACTGCAGGGGATTAAAATCCGTCTCATAGATACACTCAAAAGAAGGGTTCGAGTCGAAAGATCTTATTATAAGACAATTTTTTATTTTCTTTGATGCTTTCATTTGAGTTGTAGTTCTGTTCCAAATTCCTTGTGACAGGGTTAACGCTCAAGTGACAAATGAATCTTTTTCCAACGAATACTTTTTTTTCTTCAAAATTTTTCACTTCAAAGAGCCTATGCAATGTTTTACTGCCTAAATGCATTCACTCCATTTTGGAAACAGATTATCTAAACCCTAAACTATTTTGGAAACATATTATCTCCTGTCCCCTCCCCCATATTTCTCATGCTGCCCCCTTTAGTTGTTTATGTATTAAGTAATGTTATAGGTTGCATGTATTAGACTAACAAAGTGGCATGTATTAAACTAAGATAGAAGCGTTTAACTAACCAATAAAAGATACAAGGTTGCTATTTTGACACTGATTTTTGTTATACCGTAGCATACAACATATAGAATTATAAAGTAAAATCTTGCACAAAAATCAAAAGTAGGAAAAAGTATTAAAAAAACAAAATTTGTAGTGTATGTATACTTGTTACGGTGTAGGTGTTAGGAAACATGTCAATATATTTTCTGTAAAAGATAACGTGTAGTTAGGCTGAAAAAATTGCTTTGATAATAGAACAAATATGATATATTTTCCTTTTGTACATTTTAAAATGAAAATGGAAGATGTTAAAAAATGTTTATCTAAATAGAAAATTCCGATGATCTCACATCCTCTCTATTAAGAATTCAAGTACAGATGTTAGAGATCGGTCTTCGATAAAATATGAGCATTAAGAAGTGATAATGAGATGGTAAAAATTGCATAAATAGTTTTAGTGTGCGTTTACTAATTTAGGCACATTATATAATTTAGATAAATTGGATATGAATAGAGATAAAAAATTATATTCTTACAATATCAAACAATTTTTTTTTATAATACAAATTATATTTTTACATCAAACTTATTACTTTAATGCGTGTTTATGGTAAGATTATTAATAATTGTTTGAGCAACAAATTTATTGTTGGTGCACAAGATTGAAGATGAAGATGAAAATTGAAGAATAGAGAGAAAAAACAGTTGCAATAAATTTGTTGAGAAATAAACTATATTAACAATTACATTACAAAATCCTAGTTACAAATTTGTTTAAACACATAAAATAAACTACCACACATGCATAGACAAAATTATGCTTAATAACTAAGCTAACAACTAAGAGTAGCTATTAGAAAATATCTAACTACTGTTTTTGGTTAAATAGTTTCAGAAGCTTACAACTTCTGACTAACAATTTCAGAAGCTACTGCTTCTGACTCTATCAACAACTTCTGAGTATGAACTACATCTAACGTCATTCCTTAATTCATATTCAACTAATTAAACTCTACAATACAATTCCATCCTTCAAACAGATAAAGTGTCAAGTCTTGACAACTTTGGTCAAAATATTTGTAAGTTGCTTTTAAGTGCTATAATGTGTAACTTCTAGCACTCAATTCTAGACTTGATTTCTCGGAAAAGGGAACTTCAGGTCAACGTGCTTGCTTCTTTCATGCACCACGTGGTTCTTGATAAGTCTTATAGCTGGTTTGTTGTCAATCATCAACTTCACAGGTTTGCTAACCATGACCTTTAGATCCTGCAACAAATTTATCAGTCAAACAAGTTGACACACAAACAAAGCATATGCAATGTATTCAACTTTAGAAGTTGACAACACAACCATCAGTTGTTTCTTGGAGCATCAAGAAATGAGACTTCACAGGTATTTAAAAAAATATTCAGAAATACTTTTGTCAACTCTGTCTCTACACCATCAGAGTCTGAATAACATATCAACTCACGTCAGTTTTAATATCAGAAGGGAACAACATTTCATACCTCAGACTCTCTTTAATGTACCTCAGTATTCTGACAATTGCTTGGTAATGTGACCACTTTGACTTGCTCATAAACCTATTTACCATTCTAACCACATAGCAAATGTAGGGTCTGGTGTTACACATATATCACAATGAGCCAACCAACAGTTTAAAAGTTGTAGCATCTACGTCATCACCTTCAACATTACAATCTAGCTTGTGATTCGTCATAGCGGGTGTGATTACATTCTTGTAATTTTTTAATTCAAATCTCTTCAGAAGCTCTAGTTCTACTTTAGTTGATGCAAAATTATACCCTTCTCAGAGTACAAAATCTCAATCCCTATAAAATATACCATATTTCCCAAATCAGTTATCTCAAACTCATTTATCAATACCTTCATGAACTTGACTATCTCTTCTGGACAACTCCCTGTTAGTAATATGTCATCAACATAGAGACACACCAAAATCATATTGCTTCCATAAGTATGTTGCACATAAACACCATACTCCATCTCACACTTTCTAAATCCTTGAAGCTTGAAAAATTAATCAATCTTTACATTCCAAGCTCTAGGAGCTTGTTTCAGTCCATACAACGCTTTATGTAACATATACACCATCTCTTCCTGATCCTTTTTCACAAATTCAGGAGGTTGTGACACATATACCTTTCTTGTAATAAATTGTTCAAAAATGCAGATTTCACATTCAGATGCAGTAGAGGCTAATTTCTATTTGTTGTTATAGCAATCACCAATCTGTTTGTTTCATGTCTAACTGTAGGCACAAACACTTCAAAGTAATCTAGTCCATAATTTTGTAAAAATCCTATACCTACTAGCCTTACTTTGCCAATTGATCTATCTCACTTCAACTTTATCTTGAAAATTCATCTGACGCTGATGGCTTTTCTTCTCATTTGGAAACTTAGTCAAATCCAAAATTTGGTTCTTTCTATAGCCTCAAGTTCTTCTTTCATAGAATTGAGCCACACTTTCTTCTTGAGAGCTTCTTCAACACTAACTGGTTCAAAATCTACTAACATGACACACTGAACGACTTCTCCTTTAGAGTTTACTTCAGTATCTTGCAATATGTCAAACGCTGTGAATCTCTTTGGTAGTTGTCTGATTCTTTGTGGTCTCTGGACTTGTTCAAAATATCTTTCTGATTCTGGAACCATATCACCTTCTGGACTTCCTTCAGAAGTTAGACCATCTCTAGAAGTTCCATCTTTAGAAGGTCCACCTTTAAAAGCATGACCTCCATATTCAGGATCATCATCAAAATCTAGATCAAAATTAGATTCACCTTCAGAATCAGAATCATCTTATGACTCTGATTCATCTCCAGAGTCTTCTTTTTTGACTCTGACTCAACTTCTAAATCTTCAGATTTTTAACTATCTTTGGAAGTTACCTCAGGTGTTAACACTACACCAGAGTTGGATTGAGACTTGCTCCAGTCCCATGCTTCTGACTCCTTCGCAATGACGTCTCTGTTGACTCAACTTCAAAGTCATCTTCTGATTCTGATCCATATTCAAAATCATACTCGACTTTAGATTCTGTTCTGGACTGGGCCCGACAGACCCAAAAGCATTGCAAAGGCCCAGTCCAAATGGACTTACAAGGGCCACGCCGACCAAAGAGTACGACCGTGCCCGACGCGTAGTCGCAGGCTCGACAGTACACCTCCAGCTCGACATGCTGTGGTCCAGCACCACATTCTGAGGTCCAGCTCGGCGTTACCTCGAGCACCCCAGCTAGGGCAGACTCAGTCCACTGTTCCCCCAACGATACTCCGAAAAGACCGCGTCTCCGTCCGCCCGCACTTCACGCAGAACATCCAGGAAGGGGACCACGTGCGGGTCCCCACTACGCACGTAGAACCTGGCAGTTCCTCCATTGGGCCAAACCTGCCCGGCCCAATGAAGGAACCTTGGCCCAGCGCTGGGGGCTATAAATACCCTCTGTTTCCAGAGGGTCAGGTATTCATCATTCTAACCTTACACTTGCTACTATCTGCTCGTACTCCTACTTACTTCAGCATCGGAGTGCCTTGCAGGTACCCCCCCCCCCCACTTCGTTCAAAAAGCTTTCTGCTCGGAGCCAGCCGTGACGGTCCATTTCTGATCAGGTCAGATCAGTGGCGCCGTCTGTGGGAAACTAGCTTCCCCGTCTAACGAACAACTCTAAAGACCAAAGCTCAATTCAACTACCTGTCATGGCTGATCCAGCTCGCGACGAACAGCCCGTCCATGTCGCCGACACTAATAACGGTACCGCGGACAAGAATGGA